AAACCAGCCCATGGGCAAGCCTCCAGCGGTGGCCCCACCCCATCTGAAGCCTTTGTTCCCAGGGGGCCTCTGCAGACAGCAGGGTGCTGGGTGGGCCTGGCCCCTCGCCCTTGGCCCCCTCAGGTGCTCTGGTGACCATGGCTTCTTCCTGCCCACTGGGGCAGGCTCCTCACAGCCCGGCTACCACCCTCCTGTGCACTCAGGCTGGGCCACATGGCAGCCCAGGAACTGGCTCCTACCTTCTCCTCGATCTCACTGGCTGTGTGTTTTGTGGTCTCCAGGTTCTCCACCAAGGCCGTGTCTCCTAGAAAGTTCCCCGATGCGGCCGAGAGACGTGCTAGAAGTGAGTCTTCTAGCTCCTTCAGGACAATCTTGAATTCGTTCTGAGATTTTGTGAGGTTCGCCTGTGGGGGTGGCAGAGAGCTGGGAAGCAGACTCAGGGGAACCTGGCCTCGCCTCTCCCTCCTGGGCACCTGGGCCTCCTGGTAGCAACCACTTGGGCTTTGTCAGCTGGGCTTCACAGGAGAGGAACAGTGCCCAGCCTGCAAGGACATGTGGACACGGGAGCCTCAGTACTGTAAAGGAATGAGAGGCAGGAAGGCTGTGACGGAGACAGAGCTGGGAGTGAGGCTGAGGCCTGGGTGGCTACCCGGAGCATTCTCCTGGGGCAGGACCCTCTGAGCTGCCCCAGGATTGCTGTGAGTCCTGCTTCTCAAGTGGAGCTTTCATCTGATTTAGGAAATGAAAGAAAGGACAGCTAGGACACAAGAGATTCATTCTGCGGGACAGAAAGATACAGTTCAGGACAACCAGCTAGGGCTGCTTCACAGAGAAGCAATGAGACACCTGGGGGCCACCTCTGTCATTTCTGCACCCTGACATGTGACCACCCATTGTTACCTTCAGCTGCTCCAGATCTGGACGCTCTTTGGCCACCACAGCGGCCAGGAGTTGGTCCTCGAGCCCATCTCTGGTGACCAGGAAGTTGATGAGGGTGCACTGGGCCTGCATCTCGGGCTTGTAGTGCGGGTTGAAGTACTTGGTGTGCAGGATGAGGCGGAAACTGGGGTGATACTCCACCTCCTTGTCACCGATCTTAATAAACCTGGCAGGGGTCACAGATGAGGTGAGATCAAGGGGCGAGGCCATCTGTAGCCACTTGGTGGCTGTCCCCAGTTGGCTACCCTGGAGCACTACACTGATTGCTAGACAAACTCTGCCACACTCCTTGACCTCAGATGTGGCCCTGTGGAGGCCACATGTTGTCTTCTCCTCTGGGGGGCCTGCTGTCATCTGCATGCCGTGCTCTTCTGGGGACCTTGACTGTAGCACCCTGCCAGACTCTGCCCCCGATTCAACTAGGACATGTGTGCATTCTGGAAGCTGGACCCCTGGGGCTGCGGACCCACCATGGCGGGTGCTTCTCTCTGGGCCCACTCTGTTCTTTTCTGATTGAGCTCACTTTGGGGATCCTTTATCTGACTGCACACTCTGGGTACCAGCACTGACGCCAGGCCCTCCTAAAGTCTAGGA